AACCTTACATTTTTTCAGAAAAATTAGCTGGGAATCATTATCCAAAATTAAGATAAATAAATACTTTGTAATGAACCTGTATAAAATATGAGTTGTACTTTCTGAATTGAATTACTGAAATAAGTTCACTTGATAATGATTTTTCTAATTCATTTAGATAAATATTCATGAGTGAGAGAAGTATTTAAAGTGCAATTTAATTATGGAGTCAGAAAAGGTAAGCATCATTTGTCAGGGAGCTCATCTTTGTCTGGAGGAAAAAACGGGGACTAATGAGTATACAGGAGAAGAAACGAGGTGGGCTAAATTTGTCTCAATCAATGTCAGGGAGTATCATTACGAAGCTACATTTGCTACAAGTGTGTACAGGAGGGACATGTGTTAGTGGTTATGTTAGAGGCTGACATTTAGTGAGAACTGGAATGCTTACTGCACTGCAGCAGGCAAACTTCAGTTGCTGAGGCAACCAATCAGCACACAGATATTCAGAAGGTGAGTTTTATTAACTGATGTAGGCGTGCAGATGTTATAGTGAACAAGGATTTATTTTTATTTTTAGAGACAATGTATAGGAAAATGTGTTCTCAGCAGCAGCTCTGCTGGTTTACCATGTTCTGAAAAATTAATCAGCATTTACAGATTTGCATGATTATCTGTATTTTTTATTTTACACAACAGAAAGAAATAAAGGTGTTTCCATTTTATTGCTCCCTAAAGGATTTCTTGTCACTTTTACCATTTTGTACCTTTTTAATTTACCATTGCTACTTGCTCTATTTGCATTGACAGTTAAATGGAAAAACACACAATGTTAACAGGGTTTAACCTCATTTTTCCAAGTTTTGATCCTACCTAACTGGACTTTTACTGACAGAGAGGTCATTAGTTTTCTCTCCTCAATCTTTAGCATCTGAGCCTTTTAATTAAGTAACAAAAGGGAAAATTCAGTGCAGATCAAGTCCAACTAACTGACAATTTATTTCTTTACAGAAGAATTTGAGAAATTAAAGATATGAAAAACCTACCAAGACAGTAACTTCATTTAAAACTACAAAATGTTTGGTTTCAATAGACAAAATGTAAAAGAATCAAATAGATATATGTCGTCCAACTAATCCTATGTCTATAAAACCCCCAAAAATATTACTTTTAGTTTTTCAGGGGTTTATGTTACTTTATAATCATGTAAAATATTAATCTAGAGATTCCATATTAGACAAATCTAATCAAGGAAACAGAAAATTTTAGAATTAACACCCATTTGCCTCCTTCAGTCTATCATAATGTTGCCACTGCCCTCGATGAGTTTAGCATCTCAGCTACTAACCATTAAATCAGCTACAAGCATGAAGGGAAGATAGAGTGGATCCAACTGAATATGACACGAGAAATATAGCATCCAACTACTGCCTCGAAGTAGACATTTGCATTATTATTGTAATGCCAACAAGATGATTGTGGTCCCATATAATATGAATTTTTAATCGTGTTATCAGATTATTCAATCTGGGAAAATAAAAACAAGCAAAGACCAACGCTTCCTTCCATTTAACTTCTATTAATGAAAGCTTTTTAAACTAATTGACACTAGTGTCGACACTTTTAAGAGAGAAATAAACCACAATGTGAAACAGCTTCATCAAGCTTCAAGAATTATCACGATACTTACAAAACCAAGGTGCCGTAAATAATTCACAGAAAAATCACAAATGTATTCTGTTCTCCCAACCAATCAGACTACATCAGACAATTCAGAGGACAAATGGATGCATTCCACTATGCATACTGAGGATTAGTGTGACAGAAACGCATTGTATGTTTTTGCACTGTTCCAGTCAGAGTCCAAAAGCAGACAAAGCATTAATCAAATGAGTGTTTTCAATGTATTATTCTAGTCATTAATTGTTTTGCACATACAGCTTCCACAGATTGTGTACCAGCAGAAAGAAAAGCAACTAAAGGAGGATTTGGAGTCCCCGTTGGACGTCAGTTAAGCCGTTTTAATTTACTTTAATGAGTTTACACTATTAATATTTTAAAGGTGTAAATGAAACCCCTCAAATGTTACATCCTTAAATATTTTAAATTATTTTCTTGAATATTAAAATCTAAATGTAATTTATGTCAATTGATTAGTTTCAAACTGAAAATCGACATTACAAAAATTCCAGCTACAACATTCAAGGAAAGACTGTAAATCTTTCTTATGCAGACAAGGCTGTGAAAAACGATCTGCCCACAGACTGGTTCTGTTGCTTTTTTTAAAAAAACAACAACAATATTTTAGATCAGATGCAATTTGATTCAGAAGAAAATTATCTTAGTAGACATAAAAAGCAAAAAAAAAAAATCACCCCTTGTTAAACATTGAATAAACCAATTACCCACATCTTTTGTGCAGCTAAATGGAAATTGTCTCCAGGTCTGATTAATGCAGTAGATTTCATAAATACCTAAACTGGACATTTATGAAAACACAAAATGTTTTAAAGGTTTTAAAAAGCCACACATAACTTCCTCCTGTTAATAAATAGAAGAAGAAACAATAGAGTCATTAAAATCTAAAACATAAATAAGATAATAAACACAGAGAGGTGTTATCCAGTCATGTTTTCGAAAGTTTCCCTGGAAAAAAAACACATAGATCGCAGATTTCAGGAGGTTCATAAAGACTGATGTCTTCCCACTACAACTCTAGCTACACAAGGAAAAATGATACTTTGTTTTGCTTTATTTTCTTATTCATGGTGTGAGAACTGTAATGCTTCATTATCAACGTGCTCCTATGTATGGATGACGGAAATATGACCGTTCTGATTTAGAAACTTCCTTGCAGTGATCTTAATGCCTAAACTCCACCAGGTTGACATCAGCAGACAATCAATAATTTTGATTGAGTGCATTTGCTATTTATTAAAACGTTTCTCTAATAGTGAAAGCCAGGTTTTGGTGATCTGGATGACTTGCTATATTCATGGTACATTGAGTTCTGCCCATATCCCAAAGGAAAATGTCCTACCATGAGTCTATGATTTAAAGCTCAAGCACACTGGGATTATACAGAGAGACAATAATCTGAATCACACCAGCAAGTACACACCTGACTGGCCAGAAAGAGGGGGAAAAAAGAGGTTTTTAGGATAGCCTATTTAAATTATGCCTAAATCTCGACTCAGGTGCTTTGGTCTGATGTTAAACAGGTTTTTCATGCTTAAAACCACACCAGTGTGGCCTAATTTAGACAATATTCAAAGAAAATGTTCTTTAAAATTCCTCAACAGTTAATTGCAAACACTGTAGCAGCTGTTGAAGTCAAGGGTGCAGATGTATTGTACGTAGCATACAAGAAAAAAGCATTATAGCTAAAAAGTAATTGACACAGGGTTAGGGTTTACACAGCAACCTACACATTTTTGTATCATTCAGTTTTATTTAATCCATTATTTTTCTACTTCATTCTTGATGTGACTATTATTTTTAGCGTGGATCAGGTGCTGTTTTTTTGCCTCAGTACCATTTAATTTCATGCACACAGATAGTTTGAATGTATTAACACAAACTGCAAGAATCCTTCCAACTGACAACTTAAACTAACTTTTAACATTCTACTTATAGTCTGATCTAAGTATATTTTTCTTGTATGAGTCAAAATATATCTTCAGGTATTATATTACACAGTTACTTTGGTTTGATAAAGTGTCCTAATTGTCCATATGCAAAATTAGATCAGAGCCAACAATAACTGAGAACGGTGTTTAACATAAAGTTTTTAGATAATATACTAATTACACTAAACATGGCATTTCAGTAATTTCAGACAAGTTATATGAATGCTTTATGACAATATGTATGCCAAAAGTATAAAATGATCACAATAGTATAATGAAAGCAAAAAATATTATTGTTAAGGAGAAAACTGACCCAGATTATCCTGGGTGCCCCTCTTCCAAACCTGACTACTTAAATTGTACTGTTTTTTTAGGGGGCATAAAACTCAATAATGTGTTTTATCCAACATCAGGAATAGGACACAAAAATGGAGGGAATGAAAAAGAAATGTTTTTATCATAGAAAGACAATAGCATCAATAAAGACTTGTTTTTTTATTGAATTCAACATTGTCTCAGACAAAGGAACCTTAAACCCTGAAAAAGCCAGCTTTAAAGATGGACCCGCTGTAATCATTCTAGGTTATTCACTTACTCTCTCTCTCTCTTTTTCAGAAAAATAAAAATAATACAGTTTCCACTGGCTTTTATTGCCCCAAAGCCATTTCAAACAACAGCTCTCCAACTTGAAACCAGCATGGCTTCTAATAAAGCTGTTCAATCTAAAAGTGGATGGAACAAAGGATTGGGGTCTGGCTCAAATCGGGTGTTCATTTATCAGTGGACACGATTCAAATCCTAGCTCCAGGCAATGGCTCGTGAAGCTTCGCAAGAGATAGCCCATCGGGGCTTCTGCTGGGAAAGCAAAAAATCCTTTGATGAGCCTCAGGCCATTTCTGCACCTGGGCCTAATATGCATGGGTAAAAAACTCAGACGCAAGCAGAGATTGGATGAAAAATAAATAAAATAATGAATTAAAAAAAAAGATTTCCTTTGTGTTTGCAAATGTGGATGTTTCTCTGCCCTTCATCTAGCTCACTTGAGGTAATAATTCCTACAGCCAGAGAGACCTACTCAGACAAATAAGTTCTTGCACTTTTACAAGCACAAAAACTGTCTCTTAAGGTTGAAATTCAGAAGAAAATATAACTTACTTGATTAGTGAAGAAAGCTTCGACATTTTCCTTATTCAATAAGAGCGTATACTTGAAAAGGCAATTCCTTAACTTAAATATAATTTTAAAAATGCCTTTTGTATTTGCTAAAACCTCTCTATCTAGTGTTTTCCATCTATGTGTGGGGTTGTGTTGGGTAAAAACTGTGGGATACTGAGATTGAACTTAAAACGTATTTGTCTTCAGAAAAGATAATTAAAAGCAACTAGGACTTACCAGAACCTCTCTTTGACACGACTTTTAGGCAATGGACCACCAACGCATGAAGCAGGATCAGAAGAGGGATGGAAGCTTTCATTTTTTTTAAAGTCCTAAAAGGAGGAATAGAGGTGAGAGTTATTGTTCCACACTGACACTAGCTGAACATGAAAAACAGGCTTTTAGAGCTCATTCAAAGTTAAACACCTACTTCTCAAAACCTTGAGGTCACCTAAAGAAAGGAACACAATCTGTCATCTTTATGTGCAAATTTTATTCAGCTTGATTTATTTTATTCAAATGAAAGCAGAGACCTACTGTCCCTGAATAAACAGGCCAAGACTGTTGATGACACAGGCGTCAAGAACAATCTGCTTCAGGGCAAACCTGGCTTTGCTGCTCTGAACATCCCACAACTCTACTCTGAGCCAACATGACATAATCAGATGTCTGCTAAGATCAAGGTATCATTCTATTAACATAATTGCTTAGAAAAGCTGTATGAGAAGCAGACAGAATAAGATCGTCTCAATATGCATATTTGTGGTCGGATAATTTTGAGAACAGAAAGCATAATGTTCTTCTGGGAGCAAGCCAAGGTCATGGGAACCAGAAAAGTCAGTGAAAGGGTAAACGTAGGATTCAAAACCTTTGAAGAAATTGTTTATCGAAACCATGATTTGTGGAAACTGCTAAGGAACAAGAAACACTATCCATTATAGTTTAGCATCAACATTTTATAAGAAGGTGGCATGAAACGTAGAGAAGCCAAATGCTAAAAAAGGAACAGGAAAATTAAGCCATTTGGACAAGTTGAGTAATAATCAAATGTATTGACTGAATTAGGACAAAAGCTCACTGATCTCTACAAAAGTATAGGTGTTTTACGTGTCAACTAAAAAAAAATGTAGGATGTTGGCAGTTATTGTAGCCCATATGTACATGCTAATATCAATCTAATATTGAACCCAGTTCTTTAATTCAAGAGTTGAGTTCTGGAAATATGCACAACAGTTGGAAAACATATTTAAGCATCAAGAGAATTGATTTCAGTCACGATTAACAGGATCACTGATACAAACAGAAATTACAGAGGAAGCCTTACCTTTAAGGCCAGCCTTACCACTGCTCTGATAAACACCAGTGAACCCAATGTCATCCTTTCACTCCCATTAATATTAAAGGTAACAGCTTCTTAGAACACATCCCCCAGTCTAAAGCTGCAGCTTCCATTTCCCAGACCACAGACTATCCAAATAAAGTAACATTAAAGAGTGGAAATTCACAGATTAGCTTGCCCAACAGTTTCCAAAACAGGTAACAAGAAGTGTCACAGGTCATGGTTATTGCAGGTCTTCAAAAGTGACCAAAATATAAAACAATGGAATTTTAAAAAGCCCTTACATCTGGTTTAACAGAGCATAAAATAATATTTCCTACATTTATCTCTAAAAGTTTTACATCATCTCCACTTGTGGGGGAAAAAAAGTTTAATTAGGTATTGAAAACTGAGCCAATTCTGGTGAAAAAGCTATTGGTTGAGGTGAAATATTTTGAAAATCAATTTTTAGGCAAACCAAAAATGTAAATCACATCTAATTTCTGGGTTGGGAAAAAAACATTTTGACTCCTTTATCCAGTTTTAAGGATCATTACTCTTGGCAGACCCTCTAAAAAGCTTAAAGGAAAGGCATATAATACCAATTTCCCCATACTGGTATGACACAATCAGATAGGCAATATTTTTGTGTGCATTATTAAAACATCTGAGACAAAGATGTATAACAGAAGTGTTGATCACACTCTATGCAAGTATTTTTAGCTGCTTTGAAAATGGACTTGAAGGCCGATGTGTCTAATGAAAAAGCAGGATATATCTCAAAAGGCTGTGATGCAGCTTGAATATCTTCAGTCCAGGTATTTGGCCAGGCTTGATGGTATACAGGACAACAATGGGGTAAGAGATCATATAGTTAAGATAAAACAACTTTAACTTAGAAGTGTTAAATTTTGCAAGAGGGAACAGTTTTGTTGTTCCACATCACATTGCTCCCTTTGACTGAATACCTATTCTTTACCTACTTGCTGAAGAACGAGACGCTTGTTAAGCACATCAGGATGCCCATGTAAGCTACAAGGGTACTTGTACTGGCATTTCAGGCATCACACCGATACTTCAGAGATTTCACAATGCTGCATCAGAGAGCATAAATGGCCACGATAGTCCTTGAGAAACTCAGTAATGTGAATGTGGACTGCAGCCAAAGATGGTGCCGTTGCCAGTTTGTCCTCCTCAAAGCACTAGTGTCATCAGTGCTTGCGTCATGCAAGTAATAGCTGCTCAGAAATGCTGCACACTGGGACACAAAAAGACTAATCTTTATTAGCTTTGCGTCTAGGGAAGCAACATCAGTAGACTAAAAACAGTCAACAGATTAAATAATTTCTGCTCAGATTTTTTCTATACTTTGTAAAACCATTTTCCTCCGGAGTGCACCTGTAAGCATTTTGGGCCGTCTATATACCTGCTTTAGACATCTAGTGATGGATATACCTAACCATTCTTTGCTAAACATATCAGACTCAGTAAGATTGTATAATTTATCAATATGAAGTCTTGCAAAATAATCTAACAAAGGAATTTGCTATGAAATAAACAATTCATCTGTAGCTTTAGGTGCGTCTTCAGAGTCGGTGTCAATCTGGAAGGTAAGACAACATATTTAGCCAGTACCCTACAAATGTTTTCTAGTAAGGTCATAAATTTAGTTCAGTGTAATACCCGATCAAGAATTTTGTTACAGACTTGCACCTTTCGTGGCTGCAGCTATTGACATCTACAGCATTTCTTCATGAGGCTGTTTTCACCATGGAATTTTTTTGTTCAGGATGATGTGCAGACTAAGTTTTTGCAGATTCAGTTCTGGACTTGCATGACCCCCGCTGTGTCTCCTACATAGCTTTTCACAAACTGGAGTACTAATCCTGCCTTGACGACAGAATCTTCAACTCAAGTTGTGGATCTCTGCATCTCTTCATAAATTGGTTTTGGTTGCTTATCCACTTTTCGGACACATTTTCCTAATTCCAGGGCTCTCAGGTAAGGAAGACGACCATGGTTTGGTACGGGGAGACATTGGCGTTGGACGCAGGAGTTTTTCCTGCATCCGAAGGGTCATCAGCTCAAACTCAAGCTCCGGCCTACTGATGGTGGTCAGGGGGCCAAGTGGAAACTGTGTACGTTTCTGTCATTGAACCCCAGGGCAGCTCCAATGTAGCTTGCCACCATCAGTGTGTTTTTTTGTTTTTTGCACCATTTTTTCCCATGTTTTTTTCTCCCACAATGTTTACATTTGATCACTGCTGTATTTTAAGAAAAAGGAAATGTCATCAGAGCAGTGCAAAATGAAATTTTGTTTTGTATAAACTCTGTGTATACAAAATGACATTAAATATTGTCTATCTTCATCAGTGTGTCAGTGTGTGTCTGAAAGGGTCAAAACCTGAATGTAGTTTAAGGCACTTTGTATAGGTTTCTTGACTAAAAAAGTGTTGTTTAAGTACAGGTCATTTTCTATTTGCAGATGTCTGTACCATTTTAAGATGGAGTTATAATTGTGAAGTTCAAAGGTTGTCGGATGCATTGCATGGCTTTCGCTCTGTCTTATTTTTCATGAGGCTGTTCTTGTGGCCTTAGTTAAACAGCTGGATTTATACTGACCTAAAACTTCAGTAGTGGGAGGCGTTTAAAAAGTAGGTGATGGCCTAAGCAGGTGGTTACACAAGAACTTACCAAAAACCGGTGATGATGATCAGGACACCGAAAGTATAAAAGAAGAGTATACTTTCTACGTTTCTGATAGCTTGTTCCTATCAGCTAGTGCAAAGATAAATCTTTAAAGATGGTGCTGTCACCTGCCTCTCATTCTTTTATTGTTTTTCTTTTTTTCCCCAAGCATCAACCGTCTTCCCATCCCAGACACTTTTTGCTCTAAGGCGGATTCATCCAAAATTCAATTACCTTCGAGGATGACTGCAAGAGAAATGGGGCGCTCTCTCAGCCCCCTGACGGTGAGAAGTTAGCCCTGGAAATGCATCCTGCCTTCCCACTCGAACATTTCCACCTCTCTGAGCCCTATTTACTGCATCCTGAAAAAATGGATATTGAGATTGTGTTCCTTACTATTTTTTTGCAGATCTTATTTCAAATCTCTCCTCCTCTGTCACTCAAATTTTTTGATCTGTGTACCCTCAAGAGCCTCACGCTCGGTCAAAAGCAGCAGCATATCTGATTTTTTTTTTTATGGCTCTTCGTATCTTCTGTTAACCTGATATCAAAAACTATATATAAAGTGACAGAAGGAAGTAATAACATATTTTTTATGTATGAACTGTCGCTGGTTGCTTGAAAACAGAATACAAATGCTTCCCCCACAAACCTGCATGACAAAAGAAAAAAGATTACATAATTATCAATGCTAGAGTGAAAAAGAATGAGCTAAAAGCTCTGCCTATTTCATGTTTTAAGTGCTTTCAAAACAGCATTCTATGTGAATAAAGCAGGACTGCCCACCTTCTGCAGCTGTATTCATAAAGCTTTCACAAGTTCTGCCTGGTAACAAATATAGTGTTCAATGATTAAAAAACAATAAAGAAGCAGTACATTGCTGGATTAGAAAGAATGTTTATAACATCCCAAAATATGGTCACTATATATATACCGGTAATAAAAAAAGAAACATTAACATCTTTATCACTTAACCTTACCAGGACATGGCCAGATGAACAAATATTTGCCTACTTAGAGTGAAATTGACTAACTTTAGAAGCCACTAAAACAGTGAACTTGTGATAATGGAACCAGTTTTAAAGATCTGGATTTTGGATTTTCTGACTTATCCACAGCAATACAAACAAATTGTTATTGCCCTTAAGTTGATAGAGGGGCTGATTTAAAGGTTATGTGAAGAACCGACCCTGCACTTAAAAAAAAGCGCATGCACAACCCTGTAACCGCTCCCGAGAGGAAACGCCTTAAACGTGTGCTATAGCATGCACAAGCCCATTTCTCCTCATGCATGATCTGTTTGCAAGTTGCTTGTTTGCATCGCTC